GAATTCGTTTTGCTGTCAACAACAACAGCTATAACAACATCAACCAACCATCCAAACCTCTTTGATTTCACAGACAAGCAGTTCTTTGTTTGCCCACATTTCACCCATTCACAGATAGTAATGCAGATTTCCAGTTTTGTTCCCAAATAGTTGTGGCTTGTCTAAGCATTTCCCTGAAATTCGTGTTTACTCATTTTCATTTGGCTAACACTTCTTTTAAGACGATGCAGACAGTCTGTTTCCTCCATCAACAATGCCGAGGAGATACGGCAGCACCTCTGTCACTTGATTCGCAAGTGGGCGTACGAGAAGGTCGTGCAATGTCTGTCCTCCTCTACTCCTATTAATGCCAATTGTGAGACATGGTGCCACGTAGACAGGGTCACGACCTCGTGTGCCATGCGTTAATTTTGATCAGCCTTTCAAGGTTTCACAAGTTTTTGCATCTGGAAATAAGCCAACTGGGTATCAGTCGCAGGTTCCTTACCCCCACTCCTACAAACATGAAGACTTTCACGCGACGACTGTTTCAACTGCCTTTGGTGGTTGAAGTAATGCTCTCCTTGTGTCCAAACCGAAATTATCACATCAACCGCATGGAATTGGCACACAATCGCACATCATGTTGGCATTTTCGTATCCTGCTTTTACTTGGCACGACTTCCTACAGTTCTTCTTGGGGTTTGATCAAATTGGCAGAAACAAACCCCTTTTGCCACTTATTCCACAGGAAAGTGTGAGCAAGGATTTTCAATCTGATAAATGAGGTGGCCGCATGGAGGGAACACCCATCTCAACTCACCTCACCTCAAATTAGTCTTCGTGTGACATGGTTGCCGTCTCCTTCAGGAGGCTATAAAACTGGCTGACAAGGCTAACTTCATGACCCAGTACACGTTAACGGGGCGAACGTGGGAAGAACATGCACCGAGGAGTAGGTGCAGGAGTAAATGCATTCGTTTCCATTGTTTATTTGCATGGCAAACAACCGGAGGACGTCCCCATGCTCCCTTGCCAAAATCCTCCAAGTTACTCACGTGGAAAGGCGGTATTCAATGTTTTCATGTCGGTGGAAGCGAGCGGCTGGGGGGTGACAAATTACCACGTTCTGAATATGGCCAAGTCTAGTGGGTAGTGGGAAGGGAAGGGGTCGTTTCGCCTCACATTAGGGTCGATTGGCATTTAA